ATCAGGAGATAATTATTATTATTATTATTGCCATTTATATAGGTCCAACAGATTCTGTAGCGCTTTGCAATATTATGAGAGGGGGGATTCAACTATAAATAGGACAATTACAAGAAAACTTACAGGAACAATAGGTTGAAGAGGACCCTGCTCAAATGAGCTTACAGTCTATAATAAAAATCATCTCTTCCTTAGCAGGTCTTAAAATTAGATAAATACAACCTCATATGAACAACAACACATGACTTATTACACGTGTCATGATTTATTTAAAGGGACACTCCAGGCACCCAGACCACTTCTGCCCATTGGAGTGGTCTGAGTGCCAACTCCAACTACCCTTAACCCTGTAGCTGTAAATATTGCAGTTTTCATAAACTGCAATAATTACATTGCAGGGTTAACTCCTCCTCTAGTGGCTGTCTACTACACAGCCACTAGAGGGCACTTCCTGGTTTCTAGCACAGGTTTTCTGTGCTATAGCGTCTCTGGATGTCCTCACGCTCTGTGAGAACCTCCAGCATTGCTTAATTTCCCATAGGAAAGCATTGAAAGCATTTTCAATGCTTTCCTATGGAGAGGTCTTAAGGGCGAGTGCGGCATTGCCACACATGCGCATTAGGTCTCCCCCGCCGGTGGCCGCGCATGCGCGATCGGTCTCCCCCGCCGGATGATGTTGGCGGGGGAGGAGCATGGGCGGACCCGAAACCACCGCCAAGGGACATCGGCGGGGGTCTCAGGTAAGTCACTGAAGGGGTTTTCACCCCTTCAGCAACATGGGATGGGTGTTGGGAGGGAGAGGGTACCTGCAGTGCCAGGAAAATGGTTTGTTTTCCTGGCACTGGAGTGTCCCTTAACAATAATAAAGCCAAAATGGAGAAGCCTTATGTGAAAAACAAAGTACACCCTTACTGCTTCCATAGGAATTAAGAGTCTAAGTAGCAGACAGGTGCTGCTATTCAAATGCCCTTGATTAATTGATCGTCAACAAGTGTGACCGCCTCTATAAAAACCAAAGTTTTCTCAGTTTTCGCGTGCTTTCGCATGACACGGTGTAATTTGTCATGTGTAGTTGTTCATCTGAGATTGTATTTACGTAATTTTAAGACGTGCTAAGGAAAATGTGATTGTTGTTATGTCCTGATATGTAATACCGTAGAATAAATTAAGGTGTACTTTCTTATTCCCGTGACTGTATATATACCAACATTTTCAAGTTGAAAACTTTTTGTAACTTTGCTGTCAATTTATCACAACTCACACATTTAATAAATGCACTTTGCCATGACTGTGGACAAGACTTGTCTCTACATTTCTCTATACAAAATCAAATTGTTTTGCATGCATTTTTCCTTTTGCACATCAGCATTTTAACTTGTTTATGTTTCACTGTATTCTGTGTTTGTTTTAATAATGGTACTATTTTTGTACTTCTTTTCGCTTCTGCACCTAATCCTCTGCAAAGATCTTTCCTGTATTTATTTATGGCATTTTTACTCAAATTCAATCTTATTTAGAACCTTCTGTATCGACTTGGTTCTCTTATCTGATAACACGTTAACTGTTGTAAGAAAACTATTAGAGTCGTTACAATGCTGCCAATACGTGAGTCGGGTAACAACGCTTGAAGCTGCTGAGAAACATAATCTTAATAACAAAGATGTTGATTTTATGTGAACCTGCTCGACTGAAATAACACTTTATTTATAGATTCAGGTATATTAAAAAATGATGGCTCAAAATTCACAAATTCTTTCTTTCTGCTACAAACAAAACAAACAAATTGGCTATTTATTTTCAGAGTATTAGAGGAGAACCATTACACTAGATGTATTTTTTCTTTCTTCATCATCTTGTTTAAGCTCCTATGTCCTGATTTTTGAGTTGATTTAACAAGATAGATATATAGGGCTGTTATAAGGAAAGGTCACGTTAATTTGGCTCTTGAAGAGATGAAACTCTCTAAAGGAGCAAAGTGCTAAATAATTTCACTGAAACTGTCTACTGACTTTTTATTCTTGTTAAAATACCTAATTATACCTTTTGCATGCATGACTGATCCCTGACTGGATCATTTGATGAAACGGGGATCGCAACCTCTCAACTGTGGGAGACAAATTAGAACAAGTCATTCCCTTTAAGAAAAAAAAGGCAACATAATTTCTTTTTTTTTTACTTCGTATCCCTTCTTACTTATTAATTTACTTAAAATGGTTCAGATCCTAAAGACCAGTTGAATCTCTGAGCTGTAAACAAACCAGAATAGCATCTTTTCTTGTCCATTATAACAATATTTATGTCTAATGATGGACTCTGTTCTAAATTTCGATTATCACTTGGCATTTTAAATTCTCTATGAATTCAACCGCAGCAAAAGCATTTTCTTAAGTGGAAGAAAGAAAATTATATATATATTTTTTCTGACTAATTTATTACTTTGTTTAAGAAAAGTTGCTGCCAGTTATTGCACAAGACCTAGACAAAGAATAATTTTTCACTATTTTATTTACTTGTTGGGAAGTGTGAATGCTGGACAGGAAAGTAGTGGAGGGCAAGGAGACATGCCAGAGGCATCCCTGTAGATGTGGATGCTCTCGTGTGCTCCTGAAGGTTGTTGCATGAGCAGAACAACCCTGATTTACTTTTTGGATGCTCTTCTACTTTGCTTTGTGGGGTTTTTGTTTCTGGTATCCCCGGTAGAAGGATACCAAAGAAAAAAAAACCTGGGATTGTAGGACAGGAACCTAAAATTGTAAATCAGGACAATTGGGAGGCTTTGTTAGATGCCTAGATGAGCCATTTGGTGCACACTATTGGTCTTTACTTTACTCCACATCGACTAATCAATGCTAAATGTTGGAATTATATTTTACCATTAGGTGCCCCCAATGAAAATTTACAAAACATAAATCTTTTCACTCTGTAACCAAACTTGCAACAGAACAAGTGTAAATAGTATGAATCTGAGCATATGACACATATATTTCTGTTGAGGTATAACCACATGGGAAGAATAAACAGCATGTAGTTCTCTTGTCAAAAAGGGATTGGAGTGTCAAAACTCCAATCTCTTTTAACATTTGTAAAAGTAAAGGCTGGAAGTTAAGGAAGTGGATAAAGTGGAGTCAGGTGAAATGAGGAGACAGTATGCAAAAAGTGCTATATTTTAATGTCCAGTTATAATGTCTAGTTGTAAAGGTGCCAAATTCAAAAGGTTAAATACTTAGGGGAAGATAAGGGATTATTGATCATACAAGCTAGAAAAACGAGTTAGTATGGATTTGAACTATTTGTCATGTGCACATACAGATGTTAGCTGTTCACCCTCACTAGAGGAATTTGTATCAGTGTTATTCCAATTCCCATCCAGGTAGAAACATGCATTGTGTAAGGACTGACTGACCACATTCTCATGACTTTTTCAGTGTTTTATCAACTTTATAACCAAAGGACACATGTTAAAAAGAAAACAAAAAAAGTATATTAACAAAAAACACAAATCATTTTGCAATTCTGTCTACTCCACCATTTACAGAATAGTAATACAATGATAAATGCCTAAACTTAAGGATTATCCTACGGCAGGCAATCCTCAGGGGGATTTCTAATTTCTCAACAGTCTACACTGTGGTAACAGAATAAAACAATCAGGCTCGTGGCTTGGAATCGCTTGTGTGCAGGAGTATGAGTTAACAAGAATTAGATTTTTGGCTGCTCTTGAGCACCCCGCTATCTTCTTCCAATGTTATAGCTATTTAGTTCATTGAATTTAAGTTTAATTGGGGTATCCAATATTTGGGGTACATTGGTATTCTCAATATATGATAACATTGTTAATAAGATGTAACTATTATGATTTAGCTCCATAATACGTGTTTGAAGATGTTGAGCTTTTTTTAAATGTTTTTTTTTAAAGCTTACGACTTGATTGAGAGTTTTTTTTTACAGCCGCTGGAGGCATTTTTTGGGGAAATGTTTCCAACAAAAATAGTTTATTGTTTTAAATCTGGTATTCTAGAATCTAAAGAAACATAGCTGTAAAGTGCGTATTGATTAATACTCTGTGCACGTACTGTATCTCTAGGGAATGTGGGGGAGAATCTCAAACGGAGAGCAGCAGTGACTGCCCTGAATGTTGCTGGCATGAAGTGTTAGTCTGCAGGGATTCGAAAAAAAATATTCCGATCTTCTAGCAAGTTTTGTTTCTAACTAAAAAACACTACTTTTCTATAAAATGCATTAGAATTCTTCTTTTTAGACTGCTAAAACAAAATACTTAGTTACCATACCTCTTTCTCGATACTTTTTATTGCAACATTCTGTGCTTCATTTAGAAGACAAAAAAGAAAACCATAAGAGTTTTGTGAGAAATTCACTTCCAAATTATCATACATTAAATATATTAAAAATATAAATGAAGTATCCATGCCATTTCCTGTACTGTGGCAGGGTCATCGTCTTATTGGACTTGGTAGGTTTCCCCAAAAGAAACTTTCAGTAGTCATGTCCAGTCTCGTGTTTAGCTTTCAAGTGTCTGCGTGACCATGTTTAGACATTATGCCCTTAAACTAGAGTAAGGAAAATGGTCCAGGCACTCCAAAGCTCAGCAAGGCAAATTTATTGGAACCAAGTACTCACCAACGTTTCGACCCTACAATGGCTCTTTGCCAAGCTAACATTGCAAATGAAAAGGCGCATATTTATAAGCAGTGTAATAAAACTATACTAGTTATACAGCAATCAAGCAATCAAACAGAACATAATAACAGGATAATGATGTACTTACTCTAATGAGACTTTGTGCATGTGTGCCCTTGAGAAGACCGCAAGTCACTGGAATAAAACAGAAAAGGGAGATATTACCAACTCCCACCTCATGTTCATAGTTTACTGGAAAGCCGGCTCTGGTTTGGTTGCACCCAATTGTTGCTCATTTGAATGAGTGCAGTTCCTTATTTTTTGTTGGTTTAATCTAGAACATGCTTCCCCAAACTCCGGCCCTCCAGATGTTGCTGAACTACAACTCCCATGATTGTATGAATGAAATAGATAGGCTGAGAATCATGGGAGTTGTAGTTCAGCAACATCTGGAGGGCCGGAGTTTGGGGAAGCCTGATCTAGAGCAAGGGTATACGTGACATTGATCGTTACTTGGTGATATGCTATAGTGCGCTGGTGAACAGTTTTTGTTTGCTTGGTCCTAATGGTTGGGAAAATCATATTTAAAAATCCTGAAAAATCCTGAAATGTAAGGATCATGCATTTGTAGGTAGATCATAAAACAATCAGCAATTTTGATCTATACTATATTTATATTATATATTTCCCATATAATACAATTTGACATATATCTTTATTGGAGTTGTGACATCATCTATATCGAGTGTATTTGTAAGCACGGACACTAGACAGCGCTGTGACACACACACATATTTACAGAATGCAAGACAAACTGTTCATGTTCTGTGTGTATTTATGATCAAACCTACTTTCCAGTTCTAATAGAGGATTTGTAAATTTGAATTTAATCTCTCTCATTTCATATTACCACAAGAGTTTAATGACCTCAATTCATTCCAGTGCTAGCTCTTTCAGCAAAGCCCAACTAACACCCTTCTCTAATAGCTGCTAGCTGAAGCAGTTGTTAATTTATCTTTTGATTGTGAGACAGTAAGTGTATAAAAATATATATATATTTTTTTAGAAAGGAACATCTTGTAATAAAGGTCCCAGGTCCTCCATGTGTGAGGGTGCATTACACTGGTGTTTTGTTTGTACCAGCTGTAGGATCTTATATATCTTAAATGAAATGATAAAAAAGTGGATGCTTTCATATTTCATTTTTTCTAAAAAAAAATTTTGTATGTTTACTATTCAAACCATCACCTTGCTTTGTCAGTACACTACAGTGAGAAACAATGGAGAGATTTATTAAATGTATATATTACAGTTTTGGTGCAATGGATTTATTCTGTCGGATTGTTTCATCCGTTGCTCTTTTTGCACCCTAACCGTCTTTTTAAATTTTGTTTTGCTGACGAAATTGCTTCATGAATATTTCTGCCTTTTTTTCCAGCGGAAAAGTGGTTGTAGAATTCTTCGACCATTAAACATTTGGCGGCCTTCTGGAATGTAAATGTCTTCTAAAACTAGTGGAATTCAATGTACTATGAAGAAAATCCTCACTTTTTAGATCTCTTTAATAAATATTATTATAATAATGGCAGGATTTAACTGCCACGTTTCAGAATAATATTATAGTTACATAGTTATATAGTTACATGGGCTGAAAAGAGACATGTCTCCATCAAGTTCAGCCTTCCTCACATCTGTGTTTTGCTGTTTATCCAAAAGAAGGCAAAAAAAAACCCAGTTTGAAGCTTTTCCAATTTTGCAACAAACTAGGAAAAAAATCCTTCTTGACCCCAGAATGACAGTCAGATTTATCCTCGGATCAAGAAGCCATTTGAAAAATTATATCCTTGAATATTCTGTTTTTGCAAGTATGCATCTAGTTACTGTTTAAATATTTATACAGACTTTGATAAAACTCTTCTTCAGGTAGAGAATTCCACATCCTTATTGTTTTTACGGTAAAAAAACCCTTTCCTTTGCCTTGGACTAAATCTTCTTTCTTCCAGTCTAAGCTATGACTTTGTGTCTTATGAATAGTCCTATTTGTGAATAGATTTCCACACAACAATTTGTAGTGGCCCCGGAAATATTTGTATATCATATCATCTCTGAGGTGACGTTTTTCTAAACTTAAGAGGCTTAAATTATAAATATTCCCCATTGTATGCATACACATGTGCAAACAGACGCACAAACACGGACATCCACAAACACAGACACTCATTTTATGGGTTCTGCATGGTAGAAAAAGAGAGATCTTGCGAACCCCTGGAATTCTTCTATTAGTATTTGGTTGAACCCTTCATTGTTTTGTAATCAGTAAACATATAGAAATTATGAATAAACTGGCAGCATGGAGGAAACATAACATTTAGCGGATGTACATTTAGCGGATGTTTCGGCTGTAAATACTACCTTGTACTTATCTCCTTGAGTACATCTTTGCCTCTGGAAAAATGTATAAAGACACCCATGGTTCAAAATAAATTAAGGTTGTGTTTTGGCTACTATCCTGACAATTTGTCTCATTGTGTAATGCCTATATATTTGCTTTGGGAAGCCACATTTAATTGTAGCTGCCAACGTTTCAACAAGGACTGACAGCTCCGTCCTCCAATTATAAAACGTTCTTGTTTTGTTTCACTATAATGAATAACTTTTCTGCGACATTCTCTAGCCAAGTATAAAGTCCAGTACATTGTAATTCCTTGTAGTTTGATCATCAAACAGTTCGGTTGATAGCTTAATGTGTTTTGAATTACAAAGGCAATTTTAAAGACTTCACTGCAATGTTCCTTTAATCTCCTATTTCATCTAACAGAAGAAGAATTGGGGATGATATCTGAGGGCTATAATCCGGTAAAAAAAACAAAAAACGATATAGTTACATTTTCCAGAGAAGTTACCCATGTAGTGCAGCAAGTGTTACATTGTAGAATTGGATTTTAGTATTGCTGCTACGAAGTATGAATATTAATAAAACAAGAATAAATAAGAGCTGAGAGGTGGAGCCTAGCAGCCAAGCGGATGCTCCCGCTCTCACTCGACGTTTTGGCCTCTTATACTGCTTTTTAGAGGGGCAGCATCTACATCAATGGGCAAAAGGGCGAAGCGCAAATCGAGGGTATACACAGCCTTTCAGCCAGCCAGAGTGGCGCTTCAAGCCACTGGAGTGTCCGTGGAAACATTGACCCTCTCACAGATTTCCTTCAATTTCCCACGCATGAGACCCAGAGAAATATGTCCGTTTGTCCCCCAAAGTGGAGTGAGATGGGAGACAATAACCTGAACCACCTCTGAGCTATAGCCATCACCTAATGTTTTTTTGCTTTTAAAGTTTACTCTTCTGTTGTATTCTCCTGTTTTTATACATATTTAGTGCCTTATCTCTTATCAGTGAACAGGAGGACCTTGTAAGGAGTTTCTGCTTGCTTGTGGGCTTTTTTTCCAGCCATGAGAGAGATATGTGCTCTGGCTTATTTCACTAACTCCCCCTCTACCCCATGACTCCCTTGGTAAGGGATCGTAACTCGACTTATATTTCGCACACGAGTTCTTCCATACACACTCTCGACTTATAATGTAGCAGAGGAATGGGATATTTGTATAATGGGCTTATCCGCCCTTATTTTTCACAGTTTTGGCACAAATAGTCTAATTAACATGGAGTGCTCCTGGCGCCTATTAGGCTACCCAAGCCTATATCTCCCTTCACGACTTTGTGGTCATGGTGATTGAAGTAACCCTTTAACTGAATGTCAATTGTCTAAAATTCCAAGACATTTTCATATTACAGGTAACAATAGAAATACTGTTAAATGAACATGACACAGGCTTGCAGAACAATAGAATGTATTTACACACAGACAAGTCCATTCTGTGCTTTTAGACTAACAAACATTCACGCACTATTACTTTGACCTTGATCTTATTACTGACTTTTCTTTTGACCTGATTGTACATAGTTCAATAAACAAAAATCAGAGAAAACCAAAATGACAGTGTTTATTAGCAACGTGCTATACCTTCGCAAATATATTTTAATAATGCAACATTATTTCGCAAATTGTTATGACAATGGGGCTGCTTCAGAAACTGCTTTTTTAAAATAAGTGTGCCAGTCCTGTGCTTGGAAATGGCCAATATTTATAATGATATTAAACTACTCAGCAGTGGCTAGATAACCTTGTTTAAGATTTACTACATTTATTTTTATTTTACAATGTTTTCTTTGTGTCAGCAGTAGGGATACGGCAGCTGCTTGCGGTGGGCAGATAATGCCATTAGCCACAAAACATGTTACTTCATTTAATTCAGATGACGGGTAGGATCAGCTAAGATCGTTTCCACACAGAATAAATGTCAGCATCAAACCTGTGTTTGTCCCTTCTGTAAAATATCCGGATGATGTCACAAAATTCTATCTATTTTTTTGTCAAACGTTTTTGGAATGGTCTCAAAAACCCAGAGACCCAGCTGCAATATGAAATTAATATTTCTGCAGTATCTACACTACAGTAATAAAAACTTCGTCAAACAAACGTGATGGTAGAGATTGTCTGAGAGTGCTGATGACTCCCGTTGCAGGGCAGTTACTGGGTTTGTTAAACCATAACTAGCTGGTTTGAATTCAGACTCTAAGTGACATCATACCAAACTGTAGTCGTTTTGTTGCTAAAGTGTTGTTTCTGAGAGGGTCCCTGCTCTGACCTTATATGGATGCCCTTTACTCCCCCAATTCTTTTTGCCCTCGGGTTATTGGGTTAAATTGTAGCATGATGCTCCAAGTTGCTTTATGTCGTATTTTTTAATATTTCACTAGTCCTCTTATGCTCCATGAGAGCAGTAGTTTAAAGGTCATACATACTTAATTGCTTCTGAGCTACACTGAGCTACTATCTCTCTCCAGTTTATTTTGTTTTAATTCCATTTAAGTTTTCACAGATTTAGTGCCGTGGCTTATGTGTATACTCGGCCAGCCTACTGGTTATTATCCCTCCAGATGACCATACGATACCCAGCTATTTCGTGTCATGATAGGGCCCTACAGATATATTTAAAAATCCTTGTTCCAGTTCTTGTGTATAATGCTGTACGGCAACTGTATACAGTGGTGTATTTTGAATTTGTGCTGCCCTAGGCATGAAAAAACTCAGGCATCCCACGTAATTTAAAATTTCCCCACCCCTTCCTGTCAAGGCCGCAAGCACTTTGACTAACAGACACTCCCTCACTCATGCATGCACTAACATACACACTGTTTACCCAACACACACTTTCACTGACAGACAATGACATACACACACACACACTCACTGATTTGACACACTCTGACAGACACACACTATTACGCAGACACACATACACACAGACATACACACTCACTGACAAACACACACACTCACTGATAGACCCACACACTCACTGACAGACACCCTCACACACACTGACAGACACA